CTATATTTCAAATTACTAGTTTCAAGTCGATATGAGCTGCTGCGTTGTTTGCTTAGCGGCATGGCTGTTTTGGGGACCGCAGCAGTTTCATTTTCAGTCCGATGCTTAGCGAGGAACATTTTGTTTATTACATGCTTCTTTTATTTTCTGCTTTGTTATGAGTCATGTTGTTTTCGAATCTTTTTGTATCGGCTACAGTGGCTATTTGTTGTCTGTTTCTTTGTTGGGGGAGGAGTTTCCTGTTTAGTTCCTTTTCCTTGGTGAGCATCAGTTTGGGTGTTAATTTAGGTGTAGTTTGGGGTCCGTCTTTGTTATCGGATCGGATCGAATGAAATGTACTCTTTTACTTCATTTAAGTATAGGAAAGTTTTTAACGAGACATTCTTCCTTGATATTTTATTAATAAAATTCCCACTTGCTAAGAAAAAAAATTACAATGAATTTTAATTTGGTATCGATTTTATCATTAAATTTTAAATTACTTTAATTTTCGAAACTAAATTTTAATTTGTGTAATTATTTGGTCCATTCAAAAAATTATAAACTCCTTCGATTGTTGCTGGTGGTCAATCATCACCCTTCATAGATCGTCATTAATAGTAAAATTGGTGCTTAAATGTTCGTATTTCACTTTTCTTCCTTCCATCAGATTAGTTTTTACGAAAGTCACTGAAAATAATAAAAATATATTTAAAAGTTTGACATTTTAATGCTCCAATCTCTTTTGACAATTGCTCTAAAAAACGATAGAATTTATGTGTTTAACTTCATGGGTTTAAAAAAGGTTTTAACAAAATTTAGACTTATAGAATGGTAGATGTCAAAGAGATGAGTTTATCTATGTTTAAGGTGATCGTAAAAGATGTTAGAGAGTGGTGATTTTCGACGACGACTGACAAATAGAAATGATATTTTTTTAATTTCATGTCAGCACACTTTAACACTAAACTATCATGTAATCTACCAACGAGGTCGGTTTAAGTGGTAAGCAGTTTAATATCACTTAAGCATGTCTTAAGTTTGAGTCTTTGTATATTCAGAAAATCTATGCTGAGAGTAGGGGTGTAAACGAGCCGAGTTGAGTTCGAGTATTGCTGAGCTCGACTCGACTCGAAAACTCTAAAATAGAGCTCGACTCGACTTGAAAACTCGTGAGCCTAAAATTTTCAAGCTCGACTAGAACTCAAAATCCTAAATTGAAGCTCGTGAGCAGCTCGAAATAAAGAAAAAAATTCTTAAACTTAACTCGATTGAAGCCTCAAACTCAAACTCGAACCTGAACCTTAAATATATGAAAATATTACTGTATTTTAAAAAAAAATCAATACATAAATGTTATATTATTAATAATTTATTAAAAATAAATAAAATCTTAATATATTATATTTTTGAACTGCTCACGAGCTTTTCAAGTCGAATATCAAGTAGCTCGTTTCGGCTCGTTAAGAACTCGAGTCGAGCTCGAGCTCAAGTTGAGTCCATTCGATCCGAGTATTTAACAAGCCTTGATCGAGTCGATCTCGAGTAGCTCGCGATCTGTCTCGTCTCATTTACATCCCTAGGTGAGAGACTCACCTATAAAATCTAGATGTACGATACTAGTCAATCCAAATTAATAAAAATGAAGCCTTGAAACCAGAGCTAAAAAAAGTATCATGTAATTTGACTGTATTCAAATTTTAGTGACTAAACATTTAAAAGTCGACAAGGCAAATGACCACATCTTAATTAAATAAAAACGAATATGTCCACATTTTAATTAAATAAAAATAAAAGTGACAAACTATTAAGTTTTTGAATTTAATGAGAAAATAAATAAAAGTTAAACAAAAGTGACCAATCTTGTAGTTTACCAATAATATATGTCGGCTAATGTTACAACGGCTCAACTGTGTTTCCAGCTTGGGGGCAACCTATATAAGAAGAAAGAAAACACGCTCTAATCAATTCAAATTTCATAACCGTCTAACCTCTCTCTCCCTCGTTTTTTTTAATGGCGCTCTTTTTACTCTCAGTGTGGGTGCTTCCTCCTTTTCTACGGCGGCTCTCTTTCCCCCGGCGGCCGCTTAGTCTCCCTCGTGGTCTTGCTCGGTTGTTTCTCAGTTTGAAATTTGAACACGCCATCAGTTCACATTGCACAACGTTCTAACGTCTCTCTCCCTCGTTTTTGCGATCTCCAACTGTTAGTGTGGGTGCTTCCTCCTTTGCTCCGGCGGCTGCTTAGTCTCCCTCGCGGTCTTGCTCGGTTGTTTCTCCGGCGGCTCTGTTTTTTCCAGGTGATTTCTAAGGTTCCTTTTTTGTTCATTCGAATCGTAACTGTTGTTAACGTCGGTCTCTGCTTTAATCTATTTCTCCTTTCCTGTTTTGGTTTTCCTTTATTTGGGGTTTAGGGATTTATATGTATTTGAATAACTATAGGTTGCATGTATAAACCAGATTCAGTACTCTGTTACCTTTTTCTTCTTCTGGAATTCCTTGGTTTTTCATATTAGGGGTTGTATATTAATTTGTAATGACACTGGAGCAGTTTCAAACAGGGGTTTGTATCGACATCGAATGACTTCGATCTCGCCTGGGAATAAACACTTTTGTGTTTTATGAACTGAAGGAGGCTCTGCAATTATTCTCAAAACACCTCTTTTAGCCATTGGACTTGGCCTATTTTCATCATTTGATTCGGACTTCAATTCGGGGATTCGGCTATGGGGAAGAACTCATTGCCGCCGGGGTTCCGATTTCATCCTACGGATGTCGAGTTGGTCATGTACTATTTGAAGAGAAAAGTAATGGGGAAGAAGCTATCCTTCAGTGCCATTGCCGAAGTAGATATATACAAATATGCTCCTTGGGACTTACCCAATCTCTCTTGTTTGAAGACTGGGGATTTGAAGTGGTTCTTTTATTGTCCTGTTGAGAAGAAAGGGACCAGGTTCAATCGAACAACTACAGACGGTTATTGGAAAACTACAGGGAGGGATAGGCCTGTGAAGCAAAACAAGGAGGCTGTGGGTTCAATTAAGACTCTGGTTTTCCATCGAGGGAAAGCACCACGAGGCGAGAGAACAGATTGGCTGATCAACGAGTACAGGCTCAAGGAGAAAGACGACGGTTACGTGCTTTGTGTCTTATTCAATAAGGATGGTAAGGGCCCAAAAATTGGTGCTCAATATGGAGCACCATTCAAAGAGGACGATTGGACTGACGACGACGACTCTCCTTCCCCTGTCTCTGTCCTAGAAGCTGCTGATAGAGGTACCTCGTATTTCACTGACGATTTATCTGCTGATCCGACCACATCGGACTGTCTCCAAATTCCCCCGGTTACTGATGCTATGGCGGAGGAGATTTCATGCGGCGATGATGAGGAGTTTTCATTGATGGTTACATCATTCGTAGATGATGTCAACCCCTTCCAATATACATTGTAAATTGATACATTTTTTTTTATAGATTTTGAATAACGATGAATTCATTTGGGATAAATTACAATGTCTTACCTGCATTCTCTCGAGTATTGGCGAGTGCTTGCTATTATTTCTCTTTAATTTTTCGTTGATGTATTGTTCGATGTTGCATTAATTTTTTTACAGATGGCCGAATTCTTTATTGCCGGTATGATGTGGTTGTTGGAAAAATAGATTGCTGAGGAATGAGGGAGAAGCATGGCCATGACCCATGCATTCATCGATGGACTTTGACAACCCAAGTTTCTTGAGCATTTTGTTCGGTCCTTAGGGTGTAATGAACCCACTTCCTTGTTCATCATACATCTCAAAGGCTTCTCTCAATTTGATACTTAAGCTCTTTTTTCAATTAGATATCTAAACTTGATATTCATACTCAATTCGTACTTGAACTTGGTATTCGTTACTGTTATATTACTCAATAGACTTTTCTATCAGACTTCTCAACTCAATGCAAGTGTGTTACAGTTATAATACTGTTGTGATTCATTTATGTGAATTAATCTAAATGTTTGATTTTATTATATATTTTAAAGGTATAATTTCTAGTTATCGTTATTTCTGAGATTGTATACATATTTTTAAATTATCGAAATGTTTCGTATTTCAATAAATCAAACTATCGTTTTTCCTAAAATCATGCATATTTATCTATTGTCATGTGGAGATTATTTTCAGAGAGTATTTAGACATAGTTTATGACTTGTAAGACATTACCGCATATTATTCTGCTTTGTTTCTTTGTGCACAAGATAAATCATTACTTTTGGGACTTATACTATATGCATAAGGTTCTTACCAGGTGTATAAGTGAGTGTACGGTTTAGGGGAAGCTACACGTTTTTTGTGACCCAATGGGCGTAGTAGTCATGCTTTCAAAATTCATTTGATGTTTTGATATTTTTGGGTTAGAACGGATTGAATATTTTTTATCCTAAACTCAAATTCGATTGTACTCGAATCTAACTTTTGTAATAAAAAAAAAACTAACCCAATAAAATTAGGTCAAATCAAAATACGTCGGCTTAAGTCCTGTGTCTATCCCTACCTATAACGGGCTAAATACAAATAAATTTATAAGAGGCCAAGTAGAAGTACGGTGAAGTTTCCTAGAAAAATATGTAGCGCCGGCCTGAGCATCTACGCTGGCACAACCCACAAGGATCAACCTCGTTTCTTCCAATTTTGGTTTTCTAGTAGACTGCTACCTAAATTGACTTATGCCGGAAAAATCGGCTCTCAAATGTTCTTATGCAGTGATACATCGACGGATGGGGGACAGTCGATCCCTAAAATTTAAAATTGTCGTATCTTACGTGCATATAACAGCTAATTAACACTAAACTTCGCTTTCTCAATCAACCCTACAACATGTTCAAGTTTCACCTCTTCCAAGTTTCTGCAGTTCTCTTCTTCTCACACCAATCTTGTTGTAAGTATCTAATTTCATCATATATATACACAGGCAATTTGCATACCATTGCCCGTTTCCATGCAGCATGTTCTAATTTCATGTATGATTCAGATGGCAAAATGATGATGGAGTACATTGGAGCCACGGGCGCACCTGTGAAACTCGACGCGGTTCCGATCGAAGATGGGATCGATTTCCGCTTCCTACTTAGTTTCGCCATCGACTCCGATCCCTCAGGCAATGCGCAGGACGGGAAATTCTCACCATATTGGGCGAACACATTGACTCCGGAATCCATTGCAGCCATCAAGCAAAGTCACCCCAATGTGAAAGCCTTAGCCAGCATTTCAGGGTGCAGCTGGGGCAACAAAGTCCTCCGTTGGTACAACCCGGTCGACGTCCAACGATGGATATCCAATGCCGTTACGTCGTTGTCGTCAATTGCTCGACAATATCATCTCAACAGCATCGACTTCGACTACGAGAACTTCCCGAGACGTGACTCGACGTTCACTTATTGCATAGGTGAACTCATCACCCTGTTGAAGAACCAAAGTGTCATATCCTTAGCCACCATTGCTCCGTACCATAAAACAACCGCACCTTACATCGAATTGTTCGAGAAATACGGAGATGTGATCGATTTCGTTAACTACCAGTTCTACACAGATAAGGTTCGAAAACCCAGATCTTATGTCGAAGCTTTCGAGCTCATGAAGGTTGTTGGTTTGAATCCCATGGAAAACAATTTTTCATCAAAAGACTAATAAAACGGCCTCATTTTGGTGAGGGAGTCACATCATCGCCGTCACGGTGCAGATATAGATTAACGAAGCCGAGCTGCAGCATGAATACTACATCAAGAGTGATTGGATAGAAAAATGAACACGATTCACTTGCTTTCTTGCTCTACAAGACTCGAAACCACTATAAATTTGAGAGTTGTTGGTTCATCCTAGTGGCATCTTCTTCAATGAACTTTCACTTTGGTTTTATTTTCCATTTTTTTTCGTTTAGGCATGCTTCTTGCTACCGGCCAGAATACGTTGAATTTGAAGACCTCTGCTTAAGGCTTGGTTGAAGAACAGCCTCGTCTGGAATTCCGATACAAAGGGGAACCATGCCAATATCGCTATCGGTAAGAAAAGCAACACTCCTATCATGTATTCGTACCCTCTCGCCAGTGCCTTCACTGATCCCCAATCCTGATGCCCTTCACCAATGTCCGCATACTTGCGATATCTGCAGAAGTGCCCACCCTGTCGGTATGAACGCTAGTAGGCTCTGGAAGATGTCCGACACGGTTAGATCGAGGAAATAGAACAGCATTGTGATGGTCACGATCTGCGAGTGTGCACCGGTTTGTTAGAGGACTAATTACGGAGGGGAGGATTCTGGTTTTTTTTGAAATTGAGTTTTGAGTCTCACCTTTAGAATAACCTACACGGCTACAATGACCAGCCAGGAAAGACCATAAACCTGAAACCAAACACATTTGAAAACGGGTTTCTTGCTTAAGAAGAAAGGTGAAATCGTTAAGATTAGAGGGTAATACTCCCCGCGAGGCTCAACCGAATACCTTGCCTGCTACTGGTAGTCATGTTTAGATGATACAGAATTCCGTACTGGTAATTGAAGAAGAAAAGATCTCCATGAGACGTACATGAGCCTGGTGAGTCGCACGTGCTCCTGTTCTTCCTCCCACCAAGATTCCCAGCTCTTAACCGAGGAAACTCGATGCCACCCCTGCAGCTTATCCACTTTGACCAATCTTCCCAATCTTCTACTATCTTCTGCCATTCGAATCCCGACGGATTCAAAAGGAAAGGAGTAAACAGCCAGGATAGAACCAAGAACCACATGGAGAATGATAAGAGTCCACAAGAGACAGCATCAGTTGCTGAGGAACCATAGATCCTATAACATATGAGAACCCTTGCTGATGCCTCCGCAGGTTATGTGGAAGATCCTATCGAACACATCCAGATGACCATAATGTTAACCAAATGGGGATCACTTGCTTTATATAATGTGCAAGAAAATATAGCTGATAAACTTTTAAGAGATTGAAACATACTTGAGTGGCCTTGCAAGAACTCTTTGACCGATGATAACAAAGCTCGTTTCTTGATTCGACATGAACCAGGCCAGAGATGAGACACTGCAACATAGAGATTTCAAAGCATAAGATAGATGTTCACATAAGTGATCAACAGATATCAACACAAATAAGCAAATAGTAATGTTCATTCGGACCTTCCTGTAAAGATATGCTCACGAACTCCTAAAATCGTTGGAGGTCGTACTCCATGATCCTCATTAAATTCTTCCAAAAGATTACGCATTTTGAATGCTTCTTCCAAGTAATTGTCCTGTAAATGAATAGCCTCGAAACGTCATTGGATGAATCTACTTAAACAATTGTTATCACTAGGATGATTATAGAACTTTATGGCCTTACCTGATTCATATCAATGGTTTGAAAAGCTTCTCCGCGAGTAAAAACTAAAGCATGATTCTGATTTTCAGGTTTTCCTTCTCCTAACTTTGCATTTCCGGGCAACTTTATCCGATAGATTTACTGGTCAAGATTATCAACACCTTTAACCAGTACAGAATAGTAAACTTTCTGAGGTCTTCCAGTTCCATCCCTTTCTTCAACATCGTCGATATACGCCACACAATGAGAGGTATTACTGTTATAAAAAAAAGGAATTAGCAAGGGATATAGTTCAAGATGTGATACAAAAGACCTGAAGGTACTTACTTGATCATCAAGTTAAGGATGTCGGTTGCAAGACGGTCTCCGTTTTGTTTCTGTTTTCCATAGTTTTGACAGGTAGCAACATAAGTGAATTTCAAGTCAACCAGTGCTTCCAACTGAGGATACAGGGATCTCTTGCTCTTCTTATCTTCGTCGGACGGAGTTAAGATCGCTTTCTATCCTTCTAATATTTCTGCTCACACAACAAGTACGCGTGCCATCAAACACTTGCATAGATGATGGACAAATGGTTTGCAGAGTAAGTGTTAGGCTGAACTTTCAGAGCTCGTCTGTAGTACATCATCCCTCTAACTGCAGTTCCAATGATAGTGAATTAAGAATCTAACTGCTCCAGCATAAAAATTGTCCGACGTACTGACACAACTGACTTAAGTATTGTCCGACACAACGACAATGATTAAATACCTGTCCTACACAGTTTGTCTCTTAAGGACACCCAATAGCTGCAAGATCTTTTCATCATTTTCCCATATCTCGTTCTCCTTACAATTGAGACGCTCGATGAAGTTGTTCCATTCATCTAAACAAAGCCAATGACAACAATGGAGTTGAAGTTATCTTAAAAGAGAAAGGAAAGTTCAAATGTAAGTTAACAGTATCACAAACCTGGATAGATTTTCAGCAGATAGAATATAATCGACACACTGTCCTCGTTTTCCATCTCGAGATCGCTTTTCGAATAAACAGTTTCTTCACTATAGAATGGGGTCAGGACACTGACAATGGCAAGAAATGTGACATCAATTCATGTGGAATGCAACCATAACATATATGTTCCATGACTACATTTAGGAGACACGAAAGTACCTGAACGAGAGCATGTTACGAACTCGAGGAGCTCGTGGCATATCCATAAACAATGTATTCACAAAGAAGGCAATCCTTCTACGTGCCTCGAGGTTCGTTGGTATATCAGTGCCAGATTCTTTGACTCTCAGAAGGATATGAAGACATCGTATCTGTTCTTCCCAATGTGCAGTTAGTACAGGAGGGAATGCTATAGCCGGTTTCTTGTCGGTACCGGCAAACAGTTGCCTTCCCGATTCCTTGTTACTTTGTCCAAGCTCTACTAATTCACTGCAAGGAAGAAGAACGGACATAAGATTTCGTGATAAAACGATAACCGAACCGATGTATATAGAGCAAAACCAAGTTCACTAGCCGTATCTCATTCACCATCATATCACTGGTAACTACTTCAAGCATATCTTCAAGCAAGAAAACAACAGAATCCTTTTTGGATGGATCACCATCTTTCTGCAATACAAGAACAATAAAGAAGCACTAACTACAAATGTATAAAAGCAAAGATATCATTATATCAGTTGTTTTTCATGTCAAACTGACCGCGATTGTGACAAGCTCCACAAATTTCTTGACAAGAACAGATAAAGGAGCCATTCTGAAATTCGTGAGGGTATTCTTCGAAATGTTACTCTCGATTTCTTTGATGATGATTCGAATGGTCCTGTGAATTTTCAGTAGGTACAGTCAGAACTACCAGCATTGAAGCTAAAACATTGAACTATGATCAATGCAGAATAACAAACCTTTTCTCGTTCTCTCCAACCACGGAGTGTTGAGGACAATTTTGAACGATTCGTAGCATTCGATCACAGCACATTTCAGGTATTCATCGGCACAGATGCGTTTCCAGAGGTCGGAGTCCTTGGGCCGGAACTGAACTGCCATGTCCAATGCAATTGGTATCTTTAGAAGAATACATGGAGTCAACAACAAAACCGAATGGGAGACCGAGGGAGCTTACAGACCTTGCTTGCCAGCAAAAACGGCGTTAATGGATTAAAACAGAAACCGGATTACTGAAGTGTCTAGTAGAAGCTGCAACCAAGATCACCTGGACAAAATAGCTGAATGCAAACTTGGAACACAATAGGAAAACCAGAAAAGAGTATACCTGAAAGAGGGAATATACGTAAACATGATGAGATTTCAACCAACTTAAAAATGGATGCATAAGGTGTATGCATATATATATATATACTTTCATACTTACCTTATAAGTGCAAACTGACTTTCGTGCATTCCCCTCCCAAAATAAACTCTTGGCTGCACACATGGAAACTCGGTAAATCGATACGAAGAAATCTGATTTAAGAAGGTAATAATGAAGTATATGGAGATGGAACAAATCCAGTACCTGTGCCCACCACATGAGTAACCTAATAATGTGCCAATCTGAGTTTTCGATCCATAATCGGAGCATCAGAATTCAGAAAGATAAATAAACAGCAGCCAGTAAATTGGGGCCAAATATAACCCACAAGCCAAAAGGTATAGAGGATTAATACCCTAAACTTGTTTGATAAGCGACAGCATGTTCTTAACGTTCCTCGGGACGAAACTAAATTCTTGCACATAGGTCCAAAATACCTGAAACAAAGTATCACCAACAAATTTCGGAGAATTTTTTATGGATTCTTCCTGCAACACCAAATAGATTCTACAAAGACACAAATTCATCATACTTGAAGTAATCGTAGAATGGCTGCTGTGATGAAAATGCTGGATATATCATACAGTAAGCCCTTTTGATGATTTGTTCTATCGGAGCCCCACTCCATGCAATGATGATCATTACCTGCACACAAGATAATGGGATATTAACATGTACAGGCATCAAATATGAATAACCAAAGTCACGTTTAATGCCTGTAAACCGAGAATATAAAATGTCCAGAGTCGATCCCAACTTCGAAAGAGGTGCCAAAATGATCTAATCTCTACAAAGTTTGATTTGCCAGTGCTTCCACTTCTTCCACAACTCTTCTTTCCCTGGTACAGTAGTTGTGATTAAGTACACAATCACTTGCTTATTCAAGAAATATTGCTTACAGCACACGGTAATACCTGGTCACGGGTTGATTTGAAAAAGTCACCGTCATCGCGCATAGGCCATCCGAGAGAGAAGCAATTGGAAGACCTGAAAAAGATACAGAAAATATAGATCACAACTGAAAA